GAAATTTCATTTCTCCTTTTTTCCATAATTAATAAAATGAACGGGGAACTCGATAATCCGGATTTGGATCATTCGATCCCGATAATCCGGATTGATCGAGATTGATCCGGTTTCACATGTTGACTACTGCGATGTTAACAGGTGACCCAAGTTACTAAATTTTTAAGAATGATTAAAATAAGATAAATTTCATGGATTGACTAATTTTCAATTGTGTCAATGATTTTGATAACAATGTCAAAAAAGTGCGCAAATACAATTGATATTTTACAAAAATTAAATGTTATAATATGTATCGCGTTGACGAGATCTGGATGAATAATCATACTATTTTTACATTGAATGTATGTTTATTCGAAACTTGTCCATCTGAAATTTTGATTTTTCTCTTCTACAGCATCACCTCCATTTTTCTAATTTCCTTTTCCTTTCTCTTAAAGCTCACAATGTACCGTTAATTTTACGATTCATAAAGAGGTGGTATCATTCTTGAAAAATTCTGTAAGGTTACAAGTTTGTATGGACTTACTTCACTTTACATGGGGAACGGTTCAGATCATGGTCGCTTATCAATGATTACGGTTCAATCGGCGATTCAAGCTGAATTTGCACCTACCATTTTGGAGAATCATCATAGATGACTCATCCACAGTGAATGTGAAAGATGAAAGTTATAGTACACTATACCAGCTCAATTCATGGTCACTGTGTTTTTCAATGAATGACCCGCGATGGTCATTGAAAACTAAAAGGTATAAATTTGGCTAAACACACGCGGAACGTACCCTCGGCCTTACCCGGTGTCAGACATCAGTGGCCTGATTGGTGAAATTGCTATATGGTTCGCATATGGTTTGTAAATAAAGACATTACGCAAAGGCTCGTTCGAGGGGGATCGCGCAATGGGGACACGGTACCACCACGTCTCTCCTTAATTGGTCTGTAACCTTGTCACGTTGACCAACCTGGGTTCTACACAATCTGTTTGGCTCCCTATCGCGCCAATGTCACCGAAAATTCTAATATCGATCAATTTTATAATACCGATCAAATTTCACGGTGCTCGACTGACGTGATCGATAGCGCTTAATTACGACACCACGGAGATAAAATGATAAAGATTCGAGAAATACTTCTAGAAGTGAAAGAAAAATAAAAGAACTCATATATTGGATCATTTGATAAGATATATAAGATCTTATAGGTTTATAGATGGTTCTAAACTACTTCCCGTTTTTCGTTATACAGGATGTTTCACCGTGTGATACGACATGACAGTTATAGACAAAAACAGTTGTAGGTTATTTCAATTAGTCGATATTACCGACAAGAAAACTTTAAGACTTACGGTAGCATGAGGCTTTTTGTCTTAATTAAAGTAATCAATCTCTCAAGTGGCATTGCTATAAATTTGATAACTGGCCCGAAATTTCACGGCATTAACTTTCATACGGTATGTTTCCATGCTTGGTGTTTACTTTGTTCCTTAGGTGATTCTATATTTTTAAACGTGCGATTATCGACACGTCTCGAGACTTTCGTGCTGCAAGACGAATAATCTCACTTACTATTAAATATTTATAGTGCAACTTCAACGAAAAATATACAGTGACTGTAAAAAGTATTCTTGCATCATTTTGCTTATTATATTATTTACATATTAATTAATTAAGGTCTAGTATATTAAGTTTCATATCAAACTGTAACATGTAATATATAAATATAATATGAAAAATACAAGTACGAATAGTTTTTGTAGCCATTGTATATTACATTTATGATAATTGTACATCTATAATTGTATATCGTGGAAATTGGAAATCGAAGAACGAATAATTTAGTCATAATTCATCGTGTTCTCGTATCATGTTAGCATGTATATATGTACGTGTTATGGATATCGTAAACGTGGCGTAATTACAGCGATGCGATGATCGGGGAATCCTAATGCACTGGAGATAGGAAAGTAGAAATCAAGATGCGTTACGCGCATGGTCGTAAATATATACGTAATGACAAGAGTCATCCCTCTTAGTCTTTTTAACTTACCGATCACGATCGTCGTTTAAAGAGATCAAGGTGATTCACAAACACGTAAATGATCGACAACTGTCAACAACTTGAGAATTTCTATGAAAAAATACGTATTGTACACATTTGTAAGAATCCGTTAGTACGTCTCCATTGTTAGACAAAAGAATTCTAGAGAATCTATTCATTAAGAACTAGGTAAGCAGTGAATCTTTAATAAATATCAAAAAATGTAACATAATATAACTTACATATTGTTTTATCAATAATAGACATTTGATAGAAACCAGGTTAGAGATCTAAAAATATTAATTAAAATGAATATTTTAAGAATAATTTAAAAAGAAAGTAATTTATTATAGTATTATAAACAGTTTGATTCCAAAAAATAGAAAAATACTTTAAATATGAAAAAATAAATACTTCACTCACAATAATAATATACGTAATTTTAGAAATACTAAAACAGTAGTAAAATTAAAAAATAATAATAATCTTTAGTAAATAGACTGGAAGAAAAAAATGACAAATAGATTATTGAAGGTAACAAATAAATAAAAATATTAAAGGCGACTACCTGACCCTTGAAGAATAAATACCAAGATTTTTGGCGTGTCTGTAAAGAATCTTTGTTATCCTTGAACAAAATATCTATGCAAACTATCTGAAGCAAAGTATTAAAGTCTATGCTAATGATTCAACTTGAATTTTATTTCGATATTGTGATTTAATGCCTCGTTTCTACGAAAATTATCCTTATTTATCACTGTTCGTTATATCCTTGTTAACGCTATTCTAGCTCTACCTATATAAAAAGGTTGTTGTATACTAGTTGCATTGTCCGTTGCAGCAATATAGTTGTGTAACGAACACATACATATATCATATACCTATACTGGGTGTTCCATTTAGCTATAGCTCTTTACACAAGTTATAGCTCTAAAATGTTAGAATATGAAAAAGATTTCATTGCGGAAGATCGAAAATTGATTGCTGAAAATATTTTGATTGATTAATTTAAATGATATTTGAATTTTAATTTTGTTAAATTTAGTGTATGAAAGACGCAGAAAATGAATGCAAGAGAGTATTTGTTCTTTGTCTTTTACACGTTATATTCTACAATTATTGATCTATTTTTATGAATAAAATACCTACATATTTGTTATACTGACAATTATGTGAATCTCTGCAATAAAAAATGTTAAATTATAAGAAGATTTCAGAAAAAAGACGATGTTAACAATAATCATCACTACTTAACCTTCATGAAACATAAGAGCGCATACAACTCAGATGTCAAGCTATTTCTTAGCTTTTATAAAACCAGTTTCTACCTATTTTCTTTTTCGGGCATTTAAGCTATACAACAGAGAAAACACCATCAAAATCCGTTCAGTAGCTTTACGCGATGCAAGTACAGACCGACAAAAATTCTAAAAATTAACCTCTTTGACTTCGTAGCTTACGAACTGTTCCTGGATGATTGTTTTATTTTTTTTATTCAATGTACAGACACAATCCTTTTACTGTTTTATTATATGTATACATATAGATAAAACGATGTCTCAATTGAAGTATAAAAACATGTACCATACAAATATATATATTTATACATGTATATATATAAAATAAAGGTGGTCTAGAAATCTTTAAAATATCTGCTTTTCGGTAATGAACACGTATACCAAATAATACCTACATCATTCGAAATAAATTTCGGTTAATGATCTTTTTTATCCTCTACCGTTTCAGAGCTCATAGCTTGAGCAAATTACGTGAAAATCCCGTACGTAGCTTTTAATTACATCATGTATAAATCGATCTAAGATACTTGCGATAAAATGAACTGTAAGCTATATCGAAGCACGTTCACATGTAGCGTTAATATAAAATTATAGGTGTACGGAGATGATTAATACGAGAACTGCAAGAAACATTGCTGACCTTTCTAATGCATTTACTATTAATAGTCGTGTATCTGAATATTACAAAATTTCCGTGATATTTGCTTGAAGATTAAGATTTGCAAACGTTCTTGAATAAATCTGATATTGTTAAAATACAAGTTATCATCCTTCCTATTATATTAGATGTCGTATCAATAATTTTCATTAAATTTTATTAATCGATTTCTGGGAAAGAGAGAGATTATATCGAAAAAATTCACAGATGCTATAATTACAAAAGATACAAATACTTTTTTGTTTTTTTATCTTCGGTATCTTTATTTTTTATTAAATTAATTACATTAGTTTCAAGAGCAATAATTGGTTTATTTACCTCTTGCTGTTTTGATTGGAATGTACGTCATATGATATTCTAATCAACATTTTTATAAGATAATGACGACGGAACAATGTCTAATATCTATATACATTCTAGTAAGCGAAGGAAAAAACATATTTTTGTGCAAGATTTTGTGATATGAAAAAAGATATTAGATAAGGCAGCCATTCATAAATGGAAGTTATGTAATAGTTCTGTATTATTCTGTATTCTGTATGTAGGTGGAAGATTATTTAAAAATAATCAACGATCGTTTTTGTTGTATTGATCTTATTGTATGATTTATTATGTTCATGAAACATTATCTATCATTATCGTCGTATACAAATGGTTATCGGTGCTCGGATCTTGCAGTCACCATGTCTATTACCACCACTATCCCTTACCTCGTAAAGTTCTCTTCATTTAAGTAGATTTATTATGGATCAAGGAGGAAGGAGATACGTACTGAGCTCCAGAAATCAAAGTGACCACAACTACGAGTAGCTAGCACCAAAATATTGTCAGAAATCTTAAATGAAACTTAATCTACTAATTATTCAAACACGAAAGAACCAGTGAGATTAATAATGAGAATTGACTTGTTGCTTCATGATTGTTTAAGTATACATAGGAATATTTTCATGTATTTCAGATGCGGAACCCCGAGTTTGGAGTTCAGATAACAGCAAGTTACATTTTTCTTGTTCAAACGCCTTGCTTTTATCAGTGTCACTTGAAGAATATTGAATGATCTTGAAACCTTGGAACCATCGAACCTTGGTACTTCAAAACTTCAGGGTACCAAGTTCAAAATTAATCATCTCTCGCTACATGTATATATTAGTCTTATCGTATTTACATCTATTAAACTGTATCTTTATTGTATCCAATTTTATTAAAATTTCATTTTATTGTACTAAGGTTTATTAAATTATAACTTTATTATATCTCATCTTCTTTATATCATTGTTTCTTCTCTTTCTTTTTTATTCTTTCTTCTTTTTTATATTATTGTTTCGATATATTTAGTTCTACTAAATCTAGTTTACTATTTAATTTATTAAACAGTTTAGTGTATAATTTAGTTCTGTTCGCTAAATTTAGTTTAACAGTACTTTCATTGAATTTAACTTCTTTAAATTGTATCTCTAGTGTATTTAATTTTATTATAAGATAAACGATTAAAAACAACAAGTTAAGCTACAAATATTATTTTTTACGCGAAGGAAGTGAAAAAGCTCGGGTGCCATGGCGAGCCGAATATGGAAGGTGTTAGCTCGGAGACGGATCGATGAGGACCTCGAGAGCAAAAGCAAACTAGCTCGGGTTTTAGGCTTGTTCGACCTCACAGCACTTGGCGTGGGTTCGACCCTCGGCCTCGGTGTTTATGTCCTTGCTGGCAGCATCGCCAAAGAGACGGCTGGACCAGCCGTTTGCATCGCCTTCCTCATTGCAGCTATCGCTTCCGGATTTGCCGGTAAATTAAGATCGCATTCGCGCCTGTTGCCCGGATATTGACAATTTGTTCTTATCAAAAACATTATTAGTTAAACAAGCCTCGTGATAACGTCTGGCAAAGGTTTTTGCCAAACTGATATTGATACTTATTATAACCGCTTGTTTTATATGTAGACTACGAATGTTCGTGTATTTATGGGAAATTTAAAGATACATATATGTCCTTATGACACGAAACGCACTTAATATGTAAAAATATAGGAATATTTAAAATATAGTAATTGTTAGAATATTTAATTAGTGAAACAAATATTGTCTTACATTCTCTTATTTTAATTACGTTCATCAAAATATTGCATAAATGTCTTTATATTATTTATATAAAATATTCTTATGAGAAGAATTTTATTACAAACGTGTTTTGTTAAAGGTTATGTTTGAAGTTAACAAATGACTTGTGATGAACAGAAGTACTTTCACTGTTTCACTTTTAAAATATTATATACTGTGTAAAATATGGTATTAATTCGAAAATATAGCTCCTTAATAATGAGTTGCGTATATAAAGACAGTCATTTTGAATTTACAGGAATGTGTTATGCAGAATTTGCTTCTAGGGTTCCCAAGGCAGGATCTGCATATGTTTACAGTTACGTGACAGTGGGAGAATTCATTGCTTTTATCATAGGATGGAATTTAATTTTAGAGTATGTAATAGGTGAGCAAACAAAGATTGTGAAAAGCATAATTACTCTCTCTAAAACTCGATCGAAGATAAATATTCTTAAAGGAGTACTTGTTTTTCCAGAGTATTAATTTTACCAAAACTTATTAGAGTCTACTATTCATAAGAAACAGAATTAAAATGTTTTGCACGAATAAAATAAAAATATTTGTCTGATTGTTAAATTTATATACACATATATTCCTCGATCAGGTACAGCAAGCGTCGCTCGAGGACTTAGCGGTTACTTGGATGCGCTGACAGGAAATGTGATACGCGAGAAATTGGAAGCCGCAATGCCTATAAACATCTCGTTTTTATCAAAATACCCAGATTTCTTTGCATTCGGTGTAGTAATGCTTCTTGTAATCTTACTAAGCACGGGGGTGAAAGAATCGTCAATTTTAAATAATATATTCACTGTAATAAACCTGATTACCATTGCAATAATCGTAGGCGCGGGGTCCTTTAAAGGTAATAATTGCAAATTATCATTTAAAATTAAAATACCGATCAAGGTTTTTCAAGACTGATCCCCACCATATCATCCAGTTATCTTGTCACTCGGTGTCTTATAATTTCTCTTTAATCATGATTTATCTGAATCTTTAATATTAAACAGAGTCTGTAAATATTTGTGAAAGAAAGACCTTGAGCGTGCAATTTAGTTTGTCTTATCATCTAAAAGCTTAATGACCTTTGCTGATTTGATTGTGACCTTTTAGCTGATCCAGCTAACTGGAGGATATCGGTGGAGGATATACCCAAGGACAAGCCCGAAATACACGCAGGATCAGGAGGCTTTATGCCCTTTGGTATAAGCGGAGTGATGATCGGGGCGGCAAAATGTTTCTACGGTTTCGTCGGTTTCGATGCTGTGGCAACTACCGGTGAAGAAGCTAAAAATCCTCAGCGCAATATACCCATAGCCATCGTTGTTTCCTTAATTATAATCTTAATGGCTTATTTTAGTATCTCAACCGTGCTAACTATGATGTGGCCTTACTACGACCAGGTACATTCATGCACCAGTTAAATTTTAATTGGAGCTCTTGTTATTGTTATATTTATACAAAAATATTTTGTATATTTAGAATGTCGATACGCCATTTCCATATGTTTTCGATAAAATTGGATGGACTACTGTTAAATGGATCGTTAATATTGGTGCGGCATTTGCATTATGTACAAGCTTGTTTGGGGCGATGTTTCCTCTACCAAGGATACTTTACGCTATGGGTAGCGATGGGATAATTTTTAAGCAACTTGCAATAATACATCCGAAAACAATGACACCCATTTTCGGCACAGTGGTCTCTGGCTTATTTACAGGAATCATGACACTTATTTTTGATCTTCAACAATTAATTGACATGATGTCTATTGGAACATTGTTGGCATACGCAATAGTGGCGGTATCCGTTTTAATATTAAGGTATATGAGGGCAATAATATTCAAATATGTTTATTGCAATGTTAATTACACTTATTGTAATGTTAATTACACTAAATCTAACATATTTATTGTATCATTTAGATATCAACCGAAGGAGTGCGCATCAAATACTCGTTCTGTATCAGCAATGAATGACTACAAGGTAACGTCAGTCAACATATTAAAACAAATTATTAATTTACAGAATCAGAAAGAAGTAACTGAAATGTCTAATAAAGTTGCAAAATACAGTATTGGAATTTTATGTAAGTATTAAACGGGCAAAAAAGTTATTTATTAATTTTAACATAATTAACATCGCTCTTATACGTTTCGTTATTGTTACAGGTATTGTTATATTTATTACTGCGCTTTTTATTAATTCTGTAGATACCACAGCATTAGGTAGCAATGTGATAGAATTAGTGATATTAATCGTACTTGTAAACATATTATTATTAATTATGATTATTATTGCAAGACAACCTACTCAAGACATTGATTTAGCATTTAAGGTAAGTCTTCTAAAACAAACTATAAGAACAAAACAATTAATATCATGCTTAATTAACTCCATCATTTTCAGGTGCCATTAGTACCACTTCTTCCATGTTGCAGTATTTTCATAAACTTATATTTGATGTTGCAGTTAGATAGTTTTACTTGGATCAGATTCGCTGTTTGGATGCTTATAGGTACATGTATATACATGCAAAATGTTGATAATATTTGAGAAAGAAACCAAAAGCATTATAGCCTATAATCATATGTTGTTAATTATTTTTATTTTTCACAGGTTTTACTATTTATTTCTTTTATGGCATATCTCACAGCGAACAAGGAAAAAGAAATAAAAGAGAAGCAGAAATGTTAAAACGAAAGTACGCGGACCAAGTTAGAATCGTAACCAGATTCTAATAATTATCTCGCCACATGTGATATTTTTTTATATATTTTAATAAAAACTGCTCAGAGAGAATAATCTTAGATATTACGCATGTGAATACTGTGGCAATTTTAAAATACGAGCATATTCATCTTAATACTACATCTTTCAATATTTTTTAATAAATATAAAATATTAAGATAGGATATCATCCTGATTGTATAGACTATTTTTTATAAATTATTCTTACAGAGGAAAATAGATTTTACCATAAAAATTCAAAATTACTTTAAAATTATTTCATTTAGAAAATCTGAGCTACTCTATCGTATATAAGGTTGTGAAAACTTTTGTTTTTTTTTGTTTTATACACTAAAATGTGTCGATATATACTGTACATATTTCATTACTTATTTAGATACCGATTTCATGGTTGAAATATATTGTTTTATATTATTTATTGCGTATTTATTAGAGAAATATATCATTTTAAGGAAAATCAAATTTATTAATAATATAATTTAATTAAATATCTGAAATTATAATACATGTTCATCAATAAGCTCTATATATCAGTATAGACAAGTATGGCATGATACAAGTTCAATGGTTAACATGGCAAAGCTTAATATTATAATTCGAACAGAATAAGCTTCAACATTTATAATAAAAACAGATTTATAATTAACTTACTACTAATGGTATATTACAAATATTCCAATATTACAAATTCATACAAGAGAGAGAGTCTATAAAAATTTATAATATTTATCTGTAGTAATTTCAAAACTTTTCCCGATACTTTAAATTAAGTCTTTACACATAAATACTCAAACGTAAAATTATAGTATTAGAGGCACTACATGAACTTTATTTATACAGGAACATTTAATGTATTGTTTTCTAAAAAGAAGTGAGACATTTTTTAAATACAAACCGATGCTTTACTTTATGATCCACCTATTTAAACATTTATATACATGAATTTTTAGCGATCTTTTTAAACATGCCGTTTTTATAAATAAAAAAAGCATATGATAAGTAAAAGATTACAAAATAAAAAAATACAAAGCATTATTTGTTTTACTATAATCTTGATTCATTAAATATTTTCATTAACAGCCTCACATTACCATTTTGTTTTTATTACTCCATAATAATAAAAATAATTTATACCTAGGCAAGACATCTTGTATACTTTAGAGTTCTAACGATATTATGTAATTATTGAAAAATAAAATTAATGCTTCTTGCACTTTCTATTCAATATGAATTATTTGCTAGTTATTTAAACGCGTATATTTGGAATGTTTCGTAGATTGTTTCAATATAAAATTTTATAATAAAATTATACGAATAGATTTTATTCAAATAGTTTAGTGACGTATTCTATAAATAATCTTATTGATAGTATTATTTTCTTTGCATATATTTATATCTATTTTCCTTGTTAAATGAAAATAATAGAAAACAAGTAAGCTACTTCATTTTAAGAACAACGTAATTAATTATACATTCAATCAGTATTAATTTTTGTACGTTTTAAATAAGATAACATCTCTATTATCTATTAAATACGTCATAGAGTCCAACTTGTGTTATAAAATTGAATCAATTGCAAAAGCTAAGCCTATATATACGTGTAAAACATACATATCATTGCACATGCATTGACTTTTCTTATTCATGAAAAATATATGAAAACCAAACAGTAGAATATTATATTTCTCTATAATATTTCCAATATTTTGTGTATGTGACTAAAAGGATCATTATCCATCTAAAAGTCAGGCGTTCACTTTGTTTTATTTACAAGTCCTCCTATACTTATATGTTGCCAATTTGCCTGTCATAATAAATGTAACTATGTAATTTGATTCAATGACAATTTAGCTACATAATAAAACTATATAATTTATCAAACTTACCCCTATCCCGGTTGCCCAACCAGTCCCAGCAGGATTTTCATCTGTAATACCTATTCTACGACAAAGTATACCAGCTCCTGAAACTGCCCAAACTTGACCCTGTTCTCTTGCAATGGCAACTTGTCGAAAGCCTTGTTTCGCATTTGCGACAGCCATATCTGGACAATATAAGAGCACATTACATACTGAACATGTAATAAAATAAGCAGGATGAACACTATGATTTTTGTAATCATAAAATAATTAAAAACAGTTCATAACTTCATAATAAATTCGTAGTAAATTTTAATGTACTACAAAATTCATAATAAATTTTAATGTACTACAGAAATTCGTCTAAATTTGTTATAACACAATACGAAATAAGTTACAACTATATACCTAAAGTATACCTATAGCAGAGAGTGCATTTAAATAAATGGATGTTTTGTGTATATTTCCAGTGTTTACTAATAGCAGGGTTAATACGAAGATTTTTCCAAAATATGCAGCCTTTAGGGATAACACCATATATTTTTCTCTCTTTTCTAGAAAAGATCAGATAGGTTTCTAATGAAATCATTACATACGCTCTGATAAAACATTATTCGTTATTATTCGTTAGTTCCAATCTTTATCTAACTACACATTAGTGCCAATGCAAATTGTTTCTAAAAATTAAGCTAACCAAACGTTTAAAGAAGTTACAAAAATCACTCTTGGAATCTATAGGTTTGGGGAATGCTGTCTATTAGTGTCCATTCGTTACACAAATTTAACAAATACCTATGTGTATGGGATCGTTCGGCATCACAGGAAGCGTTTGCCAGTGCGTTCCTTCTGGGAAAACGTTCACTTGCACACCATGGCGTACAGATAATTTACCCGCCATATCTAAAGCCCACACCACATCTTTCCCAACAGAAATTTGTTTCAAATGAGCACCTGATGGTGGTTCAACATTCTGCCATTGTATTCCTGAACAATCAAATAATAATTAGGAAAGATTTCAATAATAACAAAGATATATTCATACTATTACATACCTGTTGGTTTTGCAGGAGTAATACCTAATCTCCAGTAAGAAGAACCATTCTTTCCAACAGCCCATACTTGCCCGCATGGACCACATGAAATACCTACTAAAGCTTGATCACTTGGTATATGTTCCCATGAAACTCCCTATAAATAAATATTAAATAATTTTATTAAAGTAAATATTTATGACGTTGATGTTATAAATAATTTGTAAACATACCATAGGGCAAGATTCCGAAACACCTCTTCTAAACAAAGCTTCGCCATTAGAAGCAATGGCCCATATATAAACAGGAGCATCAGAACCAGGTTTCCCAGGTGCCTACGAATAAAAATGTGAATAAAAAGTTACTGTTTTAGTTTTATGTTTTATAAAAAAAGCAATGCGCGTTTTTAATATTCCTTACGTATAAAGAAACATCAAGTAATTTTGTGTTCCCTAATTCTTGCCAGGGTCCACTAGTTGTTAATTGACACCTTCGAAACCATCGTCTTCGTCTAACATAATCAGTAAACTGTTTTTTACCATGATATTGAGCAGGAAAATCTCTAGCATACTGCCATCCGTCTCTATCGACACCTCCAGGGGTATGAAAATCTACTATCCAATCTGACACCTATGATAAAGTAAAATATTTTAACACAAAACTTTTGAACTTTGTTGCTTGAATATTATAAAAAATATGTATATCCTTGCCCAATGCCAGTGCATCGATAATAGTTTAGTATGTTCTCGGGTACGTTTATGTCGTCCAGATGCATCACTCCACATGTAACGATCAGTTGGAAGACCATGAGATGTGTATCCAGTTACCGGATTCCAACGCTGATTTTCATAAACATAATAATTGTGAGTATCTACCATGCTATTTATTCCCGTATTACTATCTAATCCTACATAAAATAATGTATAAGATTAAACCATACCCCTATGCCTTTTAACAATATAATTTTCTTTTTATTTTAGAAAATATTACCTTTCAGGAACAAACCACCCCAACCACCAGTATATACCCATGCAGTACTACCATATCCTATTCCCCATGTTACACCAACAGAACAAGTTTCAACCTTTTTTAAATGTCCACCCATTTGCCTCCAAAACATAGTAGTTGGATCAATTATTACCTACATAAAATTTTCATTACAATCAAGTTACAGAAAGTTAGTACTAATATTAATATCGAGGTAATTACGTACAGATATAGATTTATAAAATATGCTACACAATGTCATCAATCCCTTGATTCGTAAATGAGTAATGCTCTGTGGTAATATTCTGTGGCTATAACAAGTAAATTCCGTATCATCGATATAAATTTTATATCCTCGTAGTTCACAAACAATTTCTAAGGTGAAATCAGAACCAGGTTTTAACGGACTACCTCCGTTTCTCTCTTCGTCACCCCATTGTCCATTTTGATATGTATTTCGTACAATTATGTTTTCCTTTAGTCTTGGATTAAAATGTAATGCTACATCATGGCTATCCATTACAGACTTTTGTTTCAGTGATACCGTTGAATAACAAACAAAATTAATTGATAGCCTAGAAATTGAAAAAATGTCAAATATTTTGAAATATACAAAAATGTTAATAAATACGATTGTAAATTATTATATTTTACCTATCAGCATCATCATGAATACAAGCTGTAATTTTTAGAGAACTGCCATATCCAAAACCATTTTGCAAAACACATTCAAAAGGTAAACCTTTTCCAGCATCCAATTCTTGTACATAACCATCATTAGAAAGTTGATTTTCCTATAAATAATTCATATGTAAAATACTAATGTAAAAATTTGTTGCATGACATACTTCAGATAAAACATGTTAACTTACTTCTAAGGCAGCAGGGTCATATACATACACATCTCCTAACGCAGTTGTAGCCCATATTGAATTAGGACCAGGTTTCCCATAAACATTATTCATTTTACAAGAAACTAAAAAATATAAAAAATATCTTATATTATCTATTTTTATATTCATTAAACATAACATACTTACATACCTGAGGTTAAGTGCGCTAGCCAGTCTTCCATCTCAGTGTCACTAGAAAACTGTAATCTAAGAACTTTAGAACGAGGCATACGAGGAGTATGAATCGCTATCCGTGGATTACCTGGTTCACTACAGCATATTACACACATAATCTCAGACACAGGAAATTGCATCTGAAAAAACACTAGTTAAAGTCTCATTAAAATATTAGTAAAAAGATTATTTTACATTTCTCATTTAGCTTACAATTGTTGTCGCTCCATCCGAATTTAAAATAGTTACAATTCCAGAATCTAAAGAACCATTGTCACTACTTATCCATTCTAATTCAATAATGCAATCTTCATATGAAGTACTCCCCTTAACTTTGCATTTTGCATCACCATTCTTTATCCAAGATGATCTGTAATATATCATTATAAACAAGGAGATCTTCAATACATTAATTTCAATTTCATATAGTTATCAAAGCCTTACTTCTCAACTACTTTCTCGTATATTGATGGATCGTATTGTACTTTTTGTAATCTTTTTTTTAACTCCTCTAAAATATATATTCTCCATGTCTCGGCTATATCGCCGTGACCTGTACCATTTGTATCTGCAATCCTACAAATTTAAGTCAAATATGTAAGTAACTATGTTTTATTATAAAACGATTTTATGATTTACGCTAATTTACAGTATCAATATTACCATTTCGGAGGATTGGATGTGTCAACAAAACATGCTCCAGCTTCTACTTTATACCAAGAGGTATCACATTCAGCCCAATACATTGCCCCAGAGCTCTCATCTTCTCCATAAACACCGGAATCACTAGTCAAGTCAGGATCGAAAATACTTCCATCTGTTTCTGGATGAGCTTCAGCACCTACCATGGAGCCAACTGAATGAACAGGGCTCCATGCAGCTGGATTGATCTACATTATTTTAGTTTCAAACTTTAATTTTAGGAAGAGATGACTGTAAGTGAAAAAATGCGTGAAAAAATTCAATTATCTATTAACCTTGACAACATTCCCCATCCCTTTTCCAGAAACTACTATAGATTCTCCAGTTTTAGTTAATGACTCATTCGATATAGTTATATTTGCAACGCTAGCTTCGGTTAAATCATCCATATCTAATGAATTCGCCGATCTACAATTTTATCAATTAAGAAAAAAATAACATCACCATAATATTACAACTAAAATATGTATGAAATAATTAGAAGTTTACCTTTTCTTGCCTTCATTTAGATATATATCCTGGAAAGAAGTTTGCTGTGGATTTTTATTAGTAGTACCATCGTTCGTACGTTGCCATAATTTTAAAGATGTTGGTGTTGGTGCAGAACGAGATTGTTCTTCCCATTCTCTAATCAACATAGTACCTTCGCTAGTACTATGTGGTCGATTCTGTAAATATTATGTAATATTCTGTAATTATGTAATAAACAATATACTTGATTATTTGTAGTATCTAAAATTTATGCAAAATAAATACCAATGATCCCCAACTTTGATGCCTCTGTTGTTGAGGAGTACCACACATACTATGTCTATTACTCGATGATAAACTAGCATTGCTACTTGCTCGACTAAGCTGAAGAGGTGCATTTATTAATCTCCATTTTTTACCCGTTAATTCCGATTGTGTAATGCCAGAACGATAATATAAACATCTATCCTCATGACCAATAGCCCAAACCTTCAGAAATGTTAAATATGCATATACACACAACTTATTAAAGATAGATATTTATTCTTTTCAATATGAATTAATTTACCTGATCATTCGGAGCAACAGATACTAGTGACATTTTACTTAACATTTCCACCCATCCAGTGCCAGCACCCATTTGTTCACATACTCCACTCATTTCACCTTTAATGCCTTTTCTAAACCATACATTTCCATCTTGAGTTACAGCCCACACTGCATCTGTACCTACACTAACTTGTATTAATTTTAAATCTTTTTGTGGAGGATCAACTTCTACCCAATCTTCTCCTACAAAATAACATTATATTCATCAGTATGAAAGACTGCATCAAATATTATTATGATAGTTATACATACCCATGGGATTTTCTCTAGTAACACCTGTGCGCACGATTGCTTTGCCAATCATTAATACAGCCCATACAAGACCAGTAATTCCAACACTGATTTGACACACCTCATATCCATTTACTAATTTTATAGTACTCCACCTTTGACCTTCAGGACAAGTTGTACTAGTTCCAACACGAAACATTACCTATGCAAATCATTGTTAAATTCGTAATAACATTATAATAATTGCAGTAACCAAAAGTACAGAATTTATTGTTATAAATTATTTAATACATCACTAAAATATTTCAAAAAATTCTTTTAAATATTATACCCTCCCATGAGCAGTTACTGCCCAGACTACAAGGCATCCAGGATTACCTCCAGGTATTTGATTTCCACCCACAGATATGTCAATAAATGGTTCCTAAAAATATATGGTATTGTGCATTTCATAAATCTTTATAAAAATTCTTCAATATTATTATGATGTAAAGATTTAGAAACCCCACCTTAGTTGCATCTTTATGAAGAGGTGCAATAGCACACCATGAATTCATAGCACTATATCTCCTATATCTAACCCATTTCCTTCTCCTGACACAAGATTTCCATTGCTTTTTCGTTGTGAATGTAGCTGGAAAATCAACTGCATATGTCCATCCCTACCAAAATATCAGATTCTCTGTGATCATAACACTTTGTTTCGATGTTGACAACTGACAACAAATCTACATATAAACAGAAAGTCACAAGAAATATGACAACAGAAGCAATTAAAAATGAATTATTCCATTATTAACTTATTGATAACTACACCTAGATTGTTAATATACAAATTAAAATGTTTTAAATCACAATCCATAAAATGAATATAATCATTATTATTAATAAAAAAAATTAAATCAACAAAGCAAATAAAATAAATTACAAACAAATAACCTAATCTCTATTATTTAAAGAAATTTTATCATATTTACATCATGATCTAACGGTTGGCCATCTAATGTAGTTTCTATTTGCCAATCACCTTCCCATTGCCAAGCCATGGATGGTAATCTTACTTTATCTCTGCTACGGTCAACTGTACCATCTTGATTAGAAAAATTATACCTATCTGTAGGTAATAATCTCCCACTAAATCCTTCTAAAGGAAGCCAACGCTGTAAATATTGTATTTTATTAAAATCTGAATAAAAATTACATGTAAGCATAATTGTAACCACCATTTTTTCAATGACATTTTAAACATACTTCATTTTCATATATTTCTTCTTTGATTCTTATAGGTACATCTAAGCCATGCACGTGTACATAAACTTGACGATCGCCACCTATAGCCCACATAAAATGTGGTACTGCTGATAATTGTTTAAACTCCAGGCCCAAGTACATGAATTCTCTCCACATAGTTCCAGATGTTGATAATCCGAACACACGTCCTTCATTATTTATAGCATATAAGTATGAGCTTGGCATCTCAATATTTTAATAGTAAAACACTTTAATTCTCCTATAAAGTGATATTTATATTGATACCAGTGGAATTATACTCCCGTCAATATTATTAGATGCTGTGTTACTATGTAAATTAATAATGAATTTAAAGATACATGGATAATACCTTTATGTATTTAAAAATAAATATGAATTATCCTCCCTGCACTGCAGGCAATATTAAACAACAGATATAACTTTCTTTACATAAATGTCATAAGATAAAACAATAATCGCGAAAGATTAATCTTGGTTATAATAAATTATTTATATTTTACATTCTACATCATTAACATTATATCTCATGTACATAAAATGTTTTACGTTAAATTGCACGCTACTTTTACGTGAAAATTCAAATTAATAAATTGTCAATCTAAAAATAAAGAACATTTTTCAGAATGACACACAGCCAACTGTCATTTACTGATTACAAGTGTGAATAAAGATGTCGATATATTTATCACATAAAGGTGATATCTATTTAAAACTTGAAATATTAATAGGCGCAATTTCTATCATATTTCTTATATAACAGAAGCTTCTTGTACATCATATAATATTTATGCATAATATAAATATTATAATCGGCATTATGTTATTTTATTTCTACTGAATTTCTTGATTACATGCGTGGTAACTGGTAACACTGCTTCTCAAACTCACCTCTTATGATCCTTTCTTTAGACGAGAAAGATCGCCTTATTAATTATTTAACCAATACATCTTAGCATTTATTAAACATATATAAAATTAAGTAATATCTATAATATTTAAATCCCTATTGTTTAATATTTTTTAACCTACAATATTTTTATATTTCAAAAATAAGTAAAATATGAATATGAACACATATAATAAAACATTTAAATCTGTAAAATAATTATTTTAATTTTATAAGACCGATAAATACGATTTATTAAATATTTTATACCATCCCTCCTATACAACAAACTAATTTATTGGTTTCTATGAAAATTTATGCATGTTCTGGAATTCAAAATCCATTGTAAACGCCATCTAATGAAGCATCCAATTGCACGTGCAACGTGCAACTAATTCGAGAGTGGTGCATTTAGTTTAAAATACTGCAAATGTACATGATCTGTAGGTTATCAAACGTTTTGTATATTCGACCGTATTTATATTTTGTAAAATCGTTGTTTATTTGAAGTAAAAGTATTATAGAAAATGGTTGTTTTTACTTGCAACAATTGTGGTGAAACGCTACAAAAGCCAAAAGTTGCGAAGCATTATGAATTTCAATGTCGTTCCGCACCCTTTTTAACATGTGTCGATTGTTTCAAAGATTTTCGGTAAGTATTAATAAAATTGATATTTTCTCCATTATTTTTAATTTATTAAAATGTACTTTTGATTGTTTCAAGAGGTGAGGAATATGTAGTCCATACGAAATGTAAAAGCGAAGCTGAAAGATATGGAGGCAAGGATTATGTTCCAAAAGCTGGTGCAAATAAGGGTGAAAGAAAGCAACAAGCATGGATTAATGTAGTAAATAGTCTATTAGATAGTGAAACAAACTTATCAACGGCAGAACGAAACTTTTTAAATATCTTGTCCAAATATGAAAACATTCCACGTAAAAAAAATAAATTTTTAAATTTCATAAAAAGTGCAGTGGGTAATAGAGCAAATCAATCAGTAGTTAATTCTGTGTGGAATAAAATGGAAACCGCTTTCAAGAATAGTACACAAAGTACTAATACACAAAATGAAAAACAACAGGAAAATGGTAAGTTCACAATAATTACTTTAATGCTTATTTAACTATAATTATAAATTTCTGAAACATTATGTTTAATATATAAATAGGTAAAACAAGCGAAAAAGTAAATAATGGAGAAGATGCAAATACACATCAAGAAAATAATATAGTTGAAAATCAGAATAATGAAAATTTAGACAGAGAAAATCAAACTGAAGATCATTTGAATAAAAATAAAGTGAATGGCATGGGAAATGCTGACACTGATATTGTTAATAATGTTAAAAAAAGAAAATCAAAAAAGAGAACAATATCCGAAATAGTACAGCAAACGGATGAACCTATTGTCAAGAAAAAAAGTAAACATACTGTAGAGGCTACAGAAGAACCAGTTTCTAAGAAGAAAAATGAAGATATTGTTACGGATGTTCCTGCAAAAAAAAGTGAAGATGCTTTACTTTCTGAAACATCAATCAATCAATGTGATGATACTGTAGAAAAATCAACCTTTAACTGGAGAGATACCATCTTAGATATAGTAAAGAGTAAAGGAGAAATTTCCTTAAAAAAATTACAGAAAAAGGTACTTTCACGGTATATGAACTCATGTTCAAATAATATATTGGAAGAAAAAGCATCTAATAAATTCAATAAAAAATTGAAAAAGATATCAGAAATAACCATTTCTGATGAGAAAGTAACTTTAGCTTAAATTGATTGATGTGTGTACTCGTACACTTTTTTTCAAAGGAAGTACAATATCATCAATAACTTATAACATTAACATACAGTAATTTATAACATTAACATATAACATTATTGCAATGAAAAAATTAATTACTTTCACATAAAACAAAGACTATAAAAAAATACTGTTATGATCTTTGTCCATTTTATGAATCAATGTTTGCAATTTATTTTTAACTGCGTTCGATTCTTTATCCTTCTTTCTTTCAAATTCTAAGGTAGCTTTTAATTCTTTTACTGTGAATTTTATTAAAAATTCGTGTTATGACAATAATGTGTAATTGGAGCTCCTACATATTCAACACTAGGGTCGTGGAAAATGAATAGTAGTGAACGCCAGTGACGTAATGAGTGAAGATACTTACGTGTTCATTGGAGAATAAAATATTGTGTTTGAAAGTGATTGTCCGGGAATAATAACGTTCTAGCTTGCTCTCAAAATGGATACATAGTACTATGATTACCGGAGAACTATCTTCATAATTCTAAACAGTTTGATATTCTGAAAGTAGCTCTTGCGAGCGTCGGTTAGAAGCATGTTATCTCAAATACAATAATTGAAGGATTAAACATTCGATTTAATTGCATTTGTCTTCTCGAATACAGAAATCATGAAAAATTAATTAGGGCAAAGTTTAAATGCTTAAGTTTTAGTTAAATTAATAATTTAAGAAATCAAGTACCATAAAGTTCTAAAATTTAAATATGTAAATATGATTTCAACATTCAAATTACAAATGTCATAAGAACTTTAAAAAAAGAAAAAAATACAATAAGAGCAGCAGTGGAACTGATGAAATAAGAACATCAAATTAGCCTTATTTTGGATTTTTGAAATTTTTAATTCCAGCTCATGCAGTAAATGCTACATATGCATTGATGGTTATTGTAAGTAAAACCAATTAATCTAATTACATTGAACTACATTCATTCATACAAAATTACGAAACTGCTGAGCACTTTTAATCTAATATTCCCTGTAAGTGATGAAAATGTTTCATTGTATCTGTTTACAGTCTATAGTGAATCTATGGCTTGATCTAACAACTTTTCTTTCTACGTTATTCTTTCCTTTTTTCAGGAATATTGTAGACAATAATCAAAGACCTAAATTTTTATATATCCCTAATCACAGTCTCACTTCATTCGTAGCTTAAAAGAGACTGTAAGAAATTGTAAAGTGTAGGCACAGATCAATTTTCAGTGAACAAGGTTCTGTGAGTTCTATGGGATAATAAGTTCTCAGCAAGTTTCTTATTGTCTATCTGAGAATAAAAATTTGCGAATTTGCTCTTATATGGATACACAATTTAAGAATACTCTCGGGAACAACTATCAGAAGAAACTCGACACATACCTTAACGTAATCGGCACAAATGCCAAGGACACGGGTTCGATTTCGGACACTGTAGTCCCAATTTTTCACAATTGTACAGCAATGATTCTGCGAATGCTCTTTAATTGAAATATTGTGAAGAGCATTTGCAGAATTATTACTGTAGGATTGGGAAAAATTGGGAAAATCAGATCAAAATCTTCTGCTTTTAGTTTATATACATTTTCATTTCTTTTTAGTGTGTTCATTTGTTCTTAAAGTTCATTGTATCTTATTCGTCTTAACAGTAACAAAATATTGCTATACAAGATGTATCGTAGAAAAACATTTATTGTTTCTTTTTTTTTAAATAAAATGAACAGATAAAACTTGTTGAAAGTATCACAGAATTTATCTAAAATTAGTCTATCAATGAACAACTATAAAATATATAAAATATTGTGACAACAATAAATAGTACAATATTAATTTTTTACAATGTAAAATTATTGTATAGAACATGCTCACTTGGAAGTATTCCAAAAGAATATTAAATATGGAACTTTTAAATAAATGTTTTAAACAAAATATTTGCTTAGGATAAATTGAACTCTGGTATCCAGTCTTTAGCATATTTGTGATCTTTAGAAAAGAGTCTTTAACAGGAAGTATGACTTGAAAGTTGGTAATAAAATTCGGAGATTTAATATTTATGTTAAATATTTGAAAATTTATCTAAATACCAAGCATGATTACTCATGGTAGCCAAAAGGCCCCATGTAAGTACTTTGGAATCATTTGGACCAAAGCTTATTAACTGTTGATCAAACAATTGAGTAACTGTTCCACCAAGTGCAGTAAGAATTGCAGTTCCAGCACAAATGTCCCACTTTTTTATTGCAGTCATGTGAACATATGCAGTTACATTTCCACTTACAACCTCTAGAAATTTGTAACCTAATCATAGATAATATAATAAATTTACTGATTCATAACAATAGAGCAGAGATTAATCTAAACAATAAAATCAGTACAATTACCTGCACCTGCTGCAGAAATAATTTTTACATCTTTACCAAATGCAATCTTAGTAACATTGTGAATTTGGCCTGCATGTGATTGTGATACAATCAATATTGGTGTTCTCTCATCTTCTAACTGGTTTATTAAAAAGAAAGAATTTATAGGACGTGTTATTGATATTTTTTGTGTATGTTACCTTAAGCAGTACTTGTAAATTTCTTGAAATTGCGTGATTAGTCCATGACCAAAACAAACTAGAATTTTGTTTTGTTTCAAATGGTTTAAATATAACACCTATTACAGGTTTTCCTTTAATAGCAACACAAACCATGGTTGTAACATATTGCAGCAAATTCTCTAAATTACAAATAACATATTAATAGAAGAATAACTAATTGGTTATATAATTATATAAAAACATATAATTTTTATTGGAACCTGTAAATTCTTTTGTTGCATCAAGAGGGTCAATCCATACTGTAATGTCATTCGTATTTATAATTTCATCCTTAATATCATACTCATTTAAAGTATTAATATTATCTTTTATATTTGACACAGTAACTTTATCACAATCCTTTGATGTTTCCTCTGATATTACTGTTATACTTGGAAATGCTTCACGCAAAGAATGATACATTGCACAATGCGATCTATAGTCTGCTTCTGTTACTGGATCATTTATACCTATCAAAATTAAAAATTACTTATGCGATTATGTATGTTGTTATGTATCATATTTTTTATTCTATAACATGAACTTTGTAATATATCTGTATCTAATAATGTTCTACATCATTTATACATATAAATGCAACATAAATAATACAGATTACTTAATTACCCTCTTTCGTTTTCCCTTTACTTTGTATTTCAAATTTAGCTTGGTTATGAACTGCTATCACTTCATAACCACCAATTTCTGCCGCTCTTATAGCGGCAACAAGAAGTAATTTTAAAGAAATGTTCTTGTTCTGTACATTTGTATACTTTTGTTCATTTGTATACAAAGTCCGGTTCGTATACAAGTATAACAGACTTAATAATACAATGATCCCACAGATAATAGTTTTCCTCGTTCGAATACTCATTCTGATATGCATAATATATTTCTCCCTCCTATTAAATTAACGTACACGCGTGACTTCGATTTATTTAATACAGTGAGACATTGTAATTGTCCCATACGCGGCCATTTTTATTTTATTTGAAATTCCCAGTAACATTAGATCTTTATGTTTATGTGGATGATTAATATAAAACTTGAAAGACATACGTGCTTCCTTTAATTTTAATATTTTATCATATATTTTGTAAATATTTATTTACTTTTTAATTTTTTTAAAATGCACTGCATGGTGACTTCATATATTAGTAAGGTTATATTAGGTTAGTTGAATGTATTGTAAATTTAATCAAACCTACTAGCATAATATAATTTACGTAGGTAAGTTTAATTTCGTTAATTTTCGTATTAAATTATAGAGAAGTTAATGCGAATTAAATTACAATGAATGTATCATTGAATTAAGTAATTTATTTTGAAATGTATCATATTAATTATCAAATACAAACTCTTTGTATCATATATATTATTTTAAACTTATAGCATTATAAAATATTGAAACGGTACTAGTCAAATATTATTCAGACCCCTGAAGCATTTCTAGTAGTATCAATAATAAGAAATCGACATAATTTCTTACATTACTCTATAAAAGGTTGAGTTTTATTGATTAATAATAATACATGTCAGAATTCTAGAGAAATTACGTGCAACTTAACATATTTCAATTTAAAAAATAGTGAAATAGTGAATAGCATCCTGATTGCCTTTAAAAATTATGTAGAATTAAGTAATACTATACAATCAGATTGTATATATTTATGCTTATAATTAATTTAGATTGCACACCGTAATATTCAGGTAAAATAATTGCGTATACATTTTTTTACTTAAACTGATAACACAGTAACAGATGAAATATTAAATAAAAAGGATAACAAGCGTGATAACATTCTATATTTTTAAGAATACTATCTTAATAATGATTACTGTAATATATTAATTTGATACCATCTTATAGTGCACTTCCTACGCAAATAATGAAATTTCATTGCTTGTCAGTATTGTGTGTGCACTTCTCTTGGCTGCATTTTTGTATTTTGTAACTTATACTTTTCCTATTCAACTGCAGGATAATATGTATCATTTATAATAACATCATAATAATTTATAATTTGATAACTCACACATTTTACATCACTTCTTTATTATAATAAGTAATATGCAGCCTTTGCTTTTTTTTTGTTTTCTAACTTATGCACCTAATTCTTTAAATATGTGATAAAATTACTTCAGCAATTTCATCTATGAAACTTTAATAATTATCTTAAGACACAAAAATGTCATTCCACTTGGTCCAGCAATAACTGCACATTGACAAGTTGTTAATAACTTTTGCAGTTGCTGTTACACATTGTCATCTGTTTAAAACATAATAGAAAATGCTACATGATTTTTGTAACAAATATTTATTAAATAATCAAAAAACGTTATATCTTATCTTAAAAAAACTTTGTACAACAATAATGTATCAATTATATGTTATATAATATGATGCTTACCATGATACCACCACTTTGTCTTCTTTGGATTTTTACTGCATGTTTTTACATAAAAGGAATTATCAGGTGGCCTCTTCTGCAGTAAAAAATAGTTATCACTAAGTATCTTTTTAGTAGGTTTATATAAAAAATTTTCTTTCTTACCTTTTCTTTACAACTGCTCAACATCGATACAATACTTAAACAAATACTTTGCACACTCAAAGCTGGAGACCAATCTTCAGTTAAAATCGATAAACAGATATGACCATTGCTGTAAATATGTGGATGTATCGGTATATTTCCACCTATGAAAGTCACTTCTGGCGAATCAAAAGGATATTTAGAACTGAATCTAAATTGCAGTTGAAATTGTTCGCCTTCATATAAGGTACCCTTTGCACCTTCCATGTGAACAATCCATTGTGTTAAATTTTGACTAGTGAGATCTTCATCTACATGTACACCTGGTGGAGGTTCGCGTATTAAAGATGTTAACTCCTTTTGTAACCTCCGCTGAAATGATATACACATAGAACTGATAACATGTAGAACTATCCAAACTTTATATAACTATATAGTAAAAATAGATAAACACATGTAACTCCTATAATTCAATAGAATTGCTTCAAATTTATTAATCATAGTTCAAAATTTTTATAGTTCTAAGCATTCAATAATCACATTCAAATGAATGTTTCAGAAATGCTAATATAATTTTCATATTCTGACCATAAATATTTTATTTCAATTATTTTACATGCACAACTCATGAGATTTTTAAATTATTATATATATTGAAAACCAATTGACATCAATATATAATGAATAACATACTGAATCATTTTTCGGAAGCATAATAAAAATTAAGATTCCTATTATTTATAAAAAAGCATTAAAAAACGGAAAAAACTCTCGATAGAGATAGAGTGGTAGGAACTAGCGCGTCTAATTTGACACAAAACGTCATCCGAGTTTGATGAATAATATGCGAATGGATTCTCCCTATAATAACATATATGTAAGGCGACAGTTTTTCAAATTTGTAAAAATGCACTGAGAATCGAATAATTTAATTAAATATTGTGTTGTGTGAAAATATAAAGATGCACAGAGGCCCAATATGTATTAAAGAAATTTTCCTACTAACTTACCTTCGACGGGGACATTGCCGCCATTGTCGATTTATCGCTCATTGCAACATAACATGAATTACTTTGCTTTGTTTATTTCTCGATCGAAAAATGTAAAGTTGCCGCGGCCAGAGCGCATCGCATTTTTTTCTATCAAATTTAGTATTACGCCATTATGCGTTAAAAAATAGCGGTTAGCACGGCAGTCAGAAAACGCGTAGTGGGGATCGACGTAAATCAGTTAAATTTAACAGGCATTCCCAAGAGGTACTAAGGCGAGTACATAATATACGATTGTTGTTATACCTATATCCATGGTTAGTAAATATTTGATCAAAGTAGATTAGAACACAACAATTTCACAACTTCGTTCATATTAAGATCAAATAAACTATAAACCAATTATTTTCGTTTGATGTTTTATAATTTATTATGTTTGTCAAGTTTTTCTATGTAAATAATTGTTAAATATTGGTTAAAGTACATACTTGATTAAAGTAGATTAAGGCATAATATGTAATTTTGTAACCTTGACTCTAAAATAAACAAAAAATCAATTCTTTTCATTTAAAGTCTTCTAACTTAATATCTTTATAAATATTTTGTCTACAAATAATTGGTAAATATTGGTTAGATATTTGATTAGATAAATATTTTATTAAAGTTTTGTAATTTTGATTCCTATAAAAATCAATTCTTCTCATGTGAAGTCTTATAATTTAATATAAATTATAAATTTTTACTATACACAAACAATTATTTCTATAAAAAAAAAGACTGTGACATGTATAATAAAGACTGAGTAGGGAAATATGTACTTTTAATTTCCTTTTTTTTAATTTCTGATTCCGTTTCTCCTGGTCTTTTTTCTGGTTTTGTAAAAAAATAAAAAATAAAATAAATATTGTAGAAGGTAAAAAAGGACGTATATAACAGTTAATATTTTTTTTGTTTTGTTTAGAGATTAAGTCGTAGATACCGTAGTTTTAATCAATCGATTCTAGGTATATTGTAAATATTGCATTCTGTTTATTTGCATGGTATGACACGGTATAGAAATGACCGGGAACGTTGGACTTATAAATTGTTTGAAATCATTGTCAATGAAATAAATACACGATTCATTGTATTATTAATTTTATCAATTAATAAAATAAATTTAATAAAATTTACGATTGTGTTATAAGTTGTAATGAGATGGTTAAATCCATCCATTAAATTATTTCAATTATGATGCAATAATTCTTAAGAGAATTTATGAGTTATACCTATATGTAGATAATTATGTTTATATAATTATGTTTGTATTGGTTGAATGCATATATATCAATAATCAATTTTATTAGTTTTGAAACATTTTAATGCAATAGAAATATTATACCACTATTCTTATAAAATTTATTATAAAGACAATCTTTTTGTTCCAGTGTCAATGTAATCAAAATATAAATTATTAATGACTTCAGCAGAACACTTTATTAGTTTAATTACTGTGGCAAGTGCTAAAAAGTTAGCTACTGCACTTGTCTTGTGTTTTATTCTCTATCATGGATTAATGCACCTTATATATGGTAAAAATATTTACATTTCTTCAATCTTTTTTATGCTGCTATATTACTTTGCATTAGTAGCATAAATCTTATGAATGTTATGTAGGTAGTGATTCTTGTAAGTGGTTATTAACAGAAGGAAGGTATAAAGGAGATAAAGAATGGCAACCGTATGGCTGTATGATGCATTACTATACACAAACGTAAGAATTTAAATAAAATTTATAGATGGTGTTATATTTTCTAGAAATATTCTTTCTTCATATAGAGACAGTCGCAGATGTTTAAGATATCTAGCTTTCATGGGCCACCGTAACCATTTTGCATTTATTGGAGATATTAGAGTCAGACAACTGTATAGATCTTTCATATCACAATTTATAGTTGATGGGAAAGTGTCAGATTTAACAGAATTACCAGACAATTCTGATTTAAATTTTAATGATGCACAACTTAGATTAAATGTACAATTTTTATGGAGGTCTCAATTGGATAATTTTATGATAGGAGACCTTAGGAGCTGGATGGTAATTATCCATTTTGAATATAAATATTTTCAATTCAACTTAAATTATATACATATTTAATAATGGGATGCTAATAATTGTTACTTTTCAGAAAACTGATGCACCTAGCTTAATTATTTCAGGCTGTGGAGCAACAACAATTCTTGCTAATAATAATAGTGATGCTCAATTGTATTCTGAGTATAGCATGGGATTAGTGAGACTTGTACAACCGGTAGACTTCTTAGTTAAAAAAAATACAAAATATTTATGGATGCTACAAGATCCTGTATTAAAAGAAAGACTGCCAGCTCAATTATCAGGCATAGATAACAGGCAGATTAATTTATGTAATAAAGCAGCAATAAAGGTAATTTTTATTTAGTTAATTTATAGATAATTACTTTAAAAAAAGTTTGTTTACATATTGATTACACACAGATACTATCTCATAGTGAGGCTCATATATGGGAAAGCAGTAAACTTGTTGGTGCAGGTGTGTTAGAACAAAGTCCAGATGGATATTTAGCGAGTCCTTTGTCTTTAAGACACAAGGTTCAAATATTGTTGAATACTTACTGCAATGATCATATGAATTTTGATGATGGTAGTTGTTGCAGTTACCCAGAACCAGCTACAACATTACAGCTATTAAGCTTATCTGCACTTGCTTTATGGTAATCGTTTTTACATAGTTATATTATACGTTAAGTAAATAGTAAGTAACAATTCGTTACAGTATAGTAATTGGTGGTGGAATGTGGGTGTATAGAAAATTTTGTCAATATCGAACCGAAATTTCTTACTCACATGTTGCCACTGTTGAGGTGGAGAATACTGAAGAAGCAAATAATTCTGAAACTACACAGATCGAACAACCCAAAGTACAAGATTTTTATACATTAATGACATCATTGGCTCTTTTGTCAATCATCTTATATTACTTTTATTTATGCGATAGGTACATGAAAGTACCTTTTTCCATCTGATATTATTAATAATTGCTATTAATAATGAATTTTTATTCGTATTTAGAACAAATTTCTTCATGAAGGAGAATAAATACTACAGTGAATTTAGTTTTTGGTTACCACTTGGATATATATTGGCACTTGGTTTATTTTTTACTGAAGATAGAGAAAGAGGACCAAGAACTTTAAATCGAGAACAAACAGATGAGTGGAGAGGATTAATGCAAGCTGTAGTGTTAATCTATCATGTTACTGGGGCTAAGAACGTTTTGCCCATTTATATGTACCTAAGATTAATTAATTCTGCTTATTTATTTCTTTCTGGATATGGACATTTTTGTTATTTTTGGCAAACAGGCGATGTTTCTTTAGTGAGATTTGCACAAGTATGTATTATTAAAATATTAATTATCATGCATATGAATGACGTGTTAGATATATCTATTTGTTATTTTTCAGGTAATGTTTAGACTAAACTTCTTAACAGTGTCTCTATGCCTTTGTATGAATAGGCCATATCAGTTTTACCATTTTGTTCCATTAGTTTCATTTTGGTTTTTAGTCATTTATTTCTTAGCATGGCTACCACCAAGAATATATTCTGGTAATTTGAACGAATATGGACCCAGAGCTTTGCTTTATCTCACATTGAAACTTTTAGGTCTTGTATCAATGATTACAATACTGTACATGTCAGAGGTATCAATTTATAAATTATCTACATATAAGATATATATTATAATAAAAATGTACAATGTATGATCGTTTAATAGGTATTCTTTGAAAAAGTATTTGTAACAAGGCCTTGGAAAGCATTATTTGTTACAACTGATGACGATATACGGGAATGGTGGTCACGTTGGAGGGTGGATAGATATAGTGTGGCTTGGGGTGTAACTTTTGGGGCAGGTCTTGTAGTTTTGCAAAGGATAGATCACATTCCAGGAACTGCATTATCTTCCTTGCTAGCGTTAATTTCTCTAACCGCTTATACTACTTTTACGATATTGTGTCATTCAGTATCTGAATGTGAAGAAATTCACTCATATATTGCGTTTATACCAGTAATTATCTATACATATATAATATTTCCAAAATTTATTTTCAAACGATTAAATTTCAACTTTTAATTACAGATTATAGGATATATAGCGCTTAGAAATGCATCATTAGCATTACGCGGCAAACACTCAGCTCTTTTGGCTGGTTTAGGTCGCATTAGCTTAGAAACTCTAGTCGCACAAGGTCACATTTGGTTGGCAGCAGATTCACATGGCGTATTAGTTTTATTGCCTAGGTTTCCAGTATTAAATCTGTTAGTCACATCATTCATCTTTATATGTGCAAGTCATGAAGTAAGTATTTAATTATTTTTATATTTGGAATTGATTATGTTCAGTGTTATATGTTGATCTTTATAGAGTCTAAAATGTATCATAAATATTTCATTTACTTTGACAGATACATAGATTAACCCAGGTACTAGCACCATATGCAGTACCAAATGATTGGAGACTGGTGGCTCGTAACTTGTTATTATTTATTGCGGTGCTTGTACCTATTGGTATTCATGATGGAATGTTCTGAAAGGCATTTTTATACGATTCACTGTATGAAAGACATTTTATGTACATGTAAATATAACTATGTAGTAACTGTGTAAGTTCATAACATTTTATCATGAAAGCTTTGTGAAAGAGAAGAATATTTAAAGAAATTGGTATTTATTTATTTTTTTCTTATTTTATTAGTTTTTATAAAGAGGAAAATAAATAAGTCAAAACACAAGAATGTTTCTGTTTCTAAAATATTTATACATTATTTATATGTATATATTTTCATCTTTTAGATTGATAAATAGAACATATACAATTTATAACTTGTAGTTATTTATTATTTTTTTTAAATAACATCATTATGTATTACTTATATATTTACTTAGATAATTTGTCTATATTAAAAATTTATTAATGCTAATTATTTCTTGCATTGTGTATTAAATTATCATGTTTCACGTGACTAGTATACACATCATAGCCTAGAGATATAGTATTATCATAAAGTACTCTATATCTATTTGGCAGAAAATAAAAATTAAAAATTTGGGCTGGTGGCCAAATAACCCATTCTGCTATGTACAATTTATGTGCTTTCTTAATAATTTCATCTTTTAATTCTGTCCAAGTACTTTTTTCTAAAATAGCTAATGTTAAAAAAAACATTGTGATGCAAAGTGGAGAACACACTAATTGATCTATAACAACCTTTTTCAAAACAATATTAATTGTACGACCTGGCAATCTATTATCTAGATATTTATACCAATAATGACATACTATACCAATAGACATGCCAGATAATGCCATGTTTCGAGTTCTATTTAAACTCCATTTATCCCACTCATTCTATAATAGCACAAATTATAACATATATACTTCAATTGTAGATTAAAATAAAAAGAAATACTGCATTGGAATAAAAATTTGAAATAAGTACCTTCAATATTTCATAATGTTGTTCTAATACATCTCCCAAGGCAGAAAGAGAAATAGATATTGTTACATTTGTATAAAGCAAATATTTTTGAGAAAATAACTTTTCTTTAATTACAGGTACTTTGTTCAAAATAAAAATTAGATTTCTGGTCATTCTCATAATCTACAAAAGAAAAAAATGAAATAATTCTCTTAATAGCTATAATTTTGAGGTTAAATATAACAGGTTAGTTTATAATCTGTTGCATTTATGAATAAAATTTTCTTTAATTAAAACAAATATTGCAAATTATTAAAGTAATAGTTAATAAACTCACAAGTAGAAATAAACATTCGATACACTGTTTAACATTGACAGTTATTTTTGTTAATATTTATAATGGACAAATCTTTTTCACCAAATATTGTCCTACACGTTTCATAAAATTAGTAAAAGTTAGATTAGGTATTTTAATATGATAATTTCACTTTAACTTATGTCCACAGCATTTAGATTCAAATTATTTTTGAGAATTATTATTATATTATTGAGAATTATATTATAATTATTGAGAATTATTTATCTAGATGTAGAATATTTAGAAATTTGAATACCGTGTTTATATGAACTTATGCATATACCTAAATAACTGAGATTATGCTTATTTTGTATATAAAGATGCAAAATTGTATATCAAAAAGCAAATTTATATTAAGGAAAATTAAAACCATGAATATTGTTAAAGATCAATTAATCTTTTTGGGAAACTTTTACATTCTTTTATAAGTTATTTGATTTTTGATTCTCTATTATTTTAGCTTACTTATCTTGTTACGTGAGATTGCATTCATTTATCTATATCTCTATTTACGATCCGATGATTCACCACAATATTTAGTCATTAATAGAGTCACTTAATAGGGTCGTTCAAAGTACTGTTACATACATTTTAAGTATTTACTTATTAAATTGTTTGCAATATTTTTTTTGTAATTTGGTAATGAAGTACAAGTATTTCCAAAATGTACGAAAATTATAATAATAAAGAATATTTCATTTATTAAATATTATATTTTGAAACAATATATCAATTTTTGCTTACCAGAAATGAGCGTAACATTTAAATTTCGTGCGCTAATGATAGAGATAACAATTTATCGCTTGGCGCCTAAACTGACAAAACGGGCGGGATTTCATGCGCGCACTGCTATCGGTGTGGATGACTACGGCGATTGGAAATCCGTAAGTATTTCAGTCAGAATTTTGAACATTTTAACGGATTTCTTCTGGTATATACACAGCATATATATATTCGTATATAAAAAAGATGTCTCAGCCGTCAGTAACGGCGTATTTTAATACACGTAAACGACAAGCAACTGACGATTTACGAAACAAGGCTAAAGTTTTGCTTCTTGATCGGGAAGAATCGAGAGTTGTGAGTAGTCAGAGTCCAACTAAAGAAGGTAATTTGGAGTCATCGGAAACATTGACTCCAATTCAAGAAGAAAAAATAATGGAAGTAAGTCCGAAGATTGTTGCGGTACCTGATAAAGAATTAGCGACCGATCATACGTTAAAACCTAATACAGTTGTAAGGAACATTCAGTTTGATTCTCCTAAATCAAGTGCTCAAAAAACGTCAAAACATAATGTTCGTGCACGAGTTACACGTACACGGAAATCATCTAGTGAAGAAGGCCAAGTGGATATCAGAGAAAGCTTCCAAAAGATCACAGAAGACTTGGATATAAAGAAAGTGCTCTTTGAGAAGAAAGGTGCACTGAGCCCAAGAAAGAAACTTCCAGGAACACCTAAAAAGGACAACGATTCTGGTGAGAGTTCATTAACTAATTGTACAACGCCGAAGAAAAGCTCAACCATGGATAAACCAGCAAAGCAAGAGCAGTCTTTAAATGATATAAAAAACCAAATTACTAAATCTTTCAAATTTTCGGAATTGAAAACTTCTCTTGCTCGGTTAAAAAATTATGAACAAAGGCTAGACCAATTGCATAAAAATGATAAGAAACCACAAATACAGAAATTTGAGAAGATCCAACTTGAAATACCTGTTAGGTAAGATATTTGTGAAATTTCTATTCTGTTATATAATTTGATTTAAATGTTTTTATAATATTCATGTTGTTATTTACAGCCCACAAAAGGCTTATAAATCTCCAAGTAAAATGTTACTGAGTCCTTTGAAGGATAAACAACTAATGAATGTCAGTCCTCAACGTAGAATTTTATTTGAACCTAAAGAATCAACCCCAAGCCCTGTGAAAGGTAGCCCAATAAAAGCACCAGCGTATCAGCAGTATTTATCAATTGCTGAAAGTGGCACTCCTGGTTTGCCATTGCCATATCATTATAGATTTTTGGCAGAGGCATTCAGATGCGTAGATACAGTATGTTATTTCTGATATAAAAACTAGTTTTATATGTGTCTTTTATATATATTTGTAATTACATACTGCATTATCAATTTTACAGGTTTCTGCAATGCTGTTCAATCGTAAAGAAACAATAACTTTCAAGAAGCTAAAGCCTGCAGTTCAAGAGTTATTGCGTAAAAATTTCACGTTGGAACATCTAGCGCAAATGAAAACCATTTTTCCGGATGCTTACATTTACAGCCAGGAGAAGCATCGTGCATTTGGTTCTTCGTCTAAACAGGATAAATATGAATTGCTTCTTACACCTATTGTTGAAGAAAAAGATGGAAGAAATACTCCAGATGCAGATGATGTTTTGAAAACAGCATCTGAAGCTAGTATGGGACCGCGAGTATTACTTGACAGACGAAGGAAATTTTACAATATCTTGCTTGGTACTGGTTTCGTATAAAAATTGTTGACAGATTTGTTATAAATATCTTAATTTTCTTTTCTTTTCTTCGTTTAACTTTCTTTCGTTTCTTTATATTTGGAGTGCAGATAAAGTAAAAGACGAGCATGAGAAATTCTTACTTAATTTGGAGACACCAATGCACATCTCGAAGGAAAAGATTCTGCGTTGGCATCCTGATTTTGATATTGAAACTTGTAAAGTAATTGAACAGGCTGAATTGCCACAACCACCTAATGTAGAAAGAATGACAAGTGCAAAAGATGTTCTTGGTAAGAACAAAAGCATGTACCTCTTTACTTGATATACTTTAAATTTTAAACTAATTTTTTATGGTTTTTTTTAGATAAAGCAAAATCATTATTCAATTGCGGTACTCGCATGGAGAAAGCATTGCAGCGATTAGCAGAAGCAAAGATGACTTCAAAGACTGTTTCTCCAAAAAAAGATGAAGTAAGCACCCAAACCGAGGGTGGTGTACAAAAGGTTAATATTACAGTTGTGGATACTCCACCTGCCACACCTACTGTAAATAAGAATCTTCATCTTACTAGTGCACTGAAAGGCATACCAAAGGCTCTTCTTGAGAAAGTAAATGTTTTCATTTTTATTTTTCATTATGTTTTGTTCATACTTTAATGACGAAAATTTTGTTATACATTAGGTTCGTGCTAAACAAGCTGCTAAAGCATTGGAGGCTATGACGCGTCCACCAAATGCAGAAAAAGAGGCTATAATGTATTCAAGATTACCCGAATTAGTGAAAGTTCTGCGTAATATTTTCGTAGCTGAAAAAAAGGGAGTTTTAACATTAGAATTTGTAATTACCAAATTAGAGAACTCGTTTAGAGCTAAATTATCTCCTGCTGAACTAGAGGACCATCTACGTTTATTGTGTAAACTGCTACCCACATGGTCTAGCATACATAATGTTCGAAAAGTGGATTATTTGAAGTTGCAAAAGGAAATCGATCTTACAAAAGTAATAAAAAGATTAGAAATTATGGCTAATGACAAAGTAAAGTCATCATGACTTTACATTATTATTGATCTTCTTTTTGTTTCAAATTAAATTATGTATATGGTTTTCAATTCTAACAATTTTATTTGTATTTTGTAAAGTACATATTTGCTATATATTGCACTATGTTCATGTATTTAAAGAATTCTATTTCAAGAAGTAGTTCGGTTATGATTAAAAAAATAAATCAAGTTCTTTCTTGCTTGAAAAAAAAATGTTTAGTATTATATAACGATAATACAATTTTCTATATAATAATTATATGCATACACACATACTACATTTTTTTCAATTTAGAAGTTTACTATTAGACTAGAAGTTTAATTCACTGCCAAATATTTATACAAATATACACACAACATATGCGATGCAGTCAAATATTAAATACTTTTGATGAAAAATTATTTGATTTTTTGCTCTTTTATATATAAATCATCTATTATATAGACAATAAAAATCGAAATTTTAAACATCTTTGTATGATTGTTTATTCAATGTCAAAAGTCATATCAGTAAAAATTCGTTTATCTACAGCCGATACATTGAATATTTTTCCTACATATTTAATCAATGGTAAAATAGATTAAATTTGACTAGGTTTTTAGTTCATCCTAACCTATTTTATTACCTTGTTGATTTATACACAATCGTAAAAATATTTCAGTGATATACATTAAATCTTGTATACATATTTAAATATATACATACAACTAAAAATCATGTTTTTAACCAATGTATTGTTAAAAAAAGTTAAAAGCAAGTGAGTATGTGTAAATCAAAATATAATTTAATTGTAAGTAGAGATTAGGTTAGTTTCTATATAGAATATCTTGTTTTAAGAGATTACCTCCTTGATTAACATTATTACAACATTTTACATGTAAAAAAGCTATTCATAATAAAAAATATTCATTTTTATACACACGACAAATGTATGTATGTATACAAATTTATGTTATGTTTACATTAAATGATCAAATTGTAAATAGTTGCTTAATATCGTGTAATTTTCATTTATAGACATATTTTAGTACTCGTAGAAAGTGTAGCAAGTGGTCACAAGTATATAAGAATTCGAGATAGGTTAGCAGATAAATTAGAAGGAGTGTGGTTTGATCCTTATGGTAAGTTTACTTTAGTATCCCATAATTATTACATACATTTATGTAGTATGTATACAGTTGTGCACAGTTTCAAATTATATTGAAAAATTATATATTTCCAGTTCGAGAACGTGTCCTCTATAGGGAATTGAAGAAAATTAAGAGTTTATAAATATTAACTTATGAAATGATTCCACTATTATAACTTATTCAATCAACACTTGTAAACTAAATTTTACAAATATTATTGTATAGGATAAATAAAATAATATTCAATTAATCAAGAATGTGACTAGTTTATTATTTTGTTTAATCAAATTCTTGAAAACAGTATACTTTTCTATATAAGCCTTTCAGAAGTCAAATTGATCAACTCCAATTTTCATAAATTTCTCAATTTCGTTAATAGATATCCAATTAGTATTCCATTCCTAAGAAACAGGTACCTTAATTCTGTAGGTTTATTTATTAGAAGAAGTAATGAATAAGTAATGAATTCCAAAGTAAATTATCTATTTTTCAATTCAAATTTTCTATTTTCCAATTTATGAAATTGATCAATGTTTCTGAACATATGCAGAGTCAAGACAAAAGAATCAATTGTTATGTGAAAAGCAAGATGTCATAGTAAATGGTTTTAAATAGAGCATAATGTGGATATCAAACATTTTGCTCGATTTATGTCCCTAGTAGCGAGAGAGATAGATAGAGGGGTAAGAATGAAGAAAGAGGAACGGAGGACCTCGAAATCGAGATTGGGGTAGGTTTCCTTTGATCCTTAACAAGGAACGCAAAGTTGTATTATTTCCACCTGGATTTCAAACGGTTTGAAATTCACGAGGCGTGAAACACGGCTCTATTCTCTTTCTCTGTTTCACCTACTTCTTCTTTGGCTCGTATTCTCTTTCGCCCTGCTCCTTCTTGTTCTTTTCCTTTTCGGCAGCGCGGGAGCAACTCTGGCGTCGTTTACTGATGTTGCCAATTCAATTTCCTTTGGCGGACCGTTGTAGTCGGTAGAAAAGAGGGTTGCAGCTACCAAAAGGGTTCTCTCCTCAACTGAATCGTCTCTATCTTTTACGATTGTGCATGTGACAGCTCCTGACATCTACATCTCCCGCGTCTCTTCTTTTACTTTAAGCAAAACTTTTTCTGTTCTTCGATTTTCTTTTCACCGTTCTTAATTTCATGTTTTCCTTCTTTATAAGCGTTTCAATAAACAAACATGAATTTCTTTCATCATTAGAACTCTAAAAAAATATAACCTTAGATGAAAAATATTCATGCAGAACATTGGTCATTTGATATCATTCAAATTACGTATAAAACGTTTTTGTATCATCACAATTGAAAAAGATATTTAGGTTAGGATTAGGTCAAAATTAGGTACTATATATAATACAGATATACAATATATAAATTACAATGATTATATGAACAATAAGGGGAAAAAACAAGAAATATTACGTAATATATAATATATGATGTAATATATGACAAAATTCTGTTTGAATATCTTGGTTCACTGCAAAAAGTTTTAATAAATTGAGCTGTATTGTTCATAAAATGAAGTTTGTACCTTATTTAGATATTGTAAAAAAATGATTAATAAAATATTTATTGTTTTACAGTAATAAAACCATGTTTTGTTACAACACAGAATGAATTCCTATTTTTAACAACCAATATATGAAATCTTTAATGGTATCTTATGGTGACATTTCACAGCTTAGTTCTCATAAATAAAATATGTTATAAAATGGAAAATCTCGAAAAATGAACGTTTTCCCCTTATACTTTATATAGTTGCCTTAAGATGTAAACCTGGATTCAGGATTCATCAAATATTAGAACCGTTTTTGAATTTTCAAATTTTTCGCGGTAAGTAAATGGTCAAGCTGTGGTAATTAGGGGGTACTACATCGGCCATCCTAGAGAAAATAATACCAGAACCTGCAGTAGGAAGGAAATTAATTCTCAGGCAGAGAAAAATCAGAAAACGAATGAACCTTCAGTACTAAGCGGGTTTTTTTTCCACGGTACAATGAGTTTCGAAGCGGTATGCAACAGCGAAATTGTTAAAACGTCCGTTGTTTATGGTTGACTCGGTAGAGCAGCCGGTAAAGGAGGAAACAGTACGCAACGGAAAACGAGGTTGGAGAGATGGAGTGGAGCGTGAGCGGGGAGAAGAAAGGGCGAGAAAAGCAAAACAGAAACGAAAGGAAAAAAGGAGAGAAAGAGAGAGAAAAAGAGGCTTCGTCTGGGCCTTGGCGCGTTTCAGTTGCCTCGCGTTCGAGGGCGTTTTTCGCCCGTGAGTTGTTCTTTGCTTATTACAGTGTGTGCACTGGGCTCGAGCTCGCTAAAGTGGTTTGCTGCTAATTAACTGCGTTATTTTTACAACTCTCTTGCTCCCATCCACCTCCTACGTCTCATTCCACCCCCTTCCCGCTTTCCTTCCCCCAACTGTTCTCCCACATTTGCAATGGGGTTCAATAATTCTGCGGCCGCAACGCCCTCTCTCTCTCTCTTCTACTCGCACCCTCTCATTCTGTTTTCACGTTTCTTATCATGCATTTTTCATTCGTATGTTTCTAATGTAAAAAATTGAAAAATGAAATTTGATCACATATGTGACTTATCTGTTGTAAAAATGAGTTACCAGATACTTGATACTAAAGTTAGTAAATCAGTCAAAATGACTAGTATTAAATGTATTGTTTTTACAATTATGAGAAATATGAAAGTGTTTTTTAGAATATCAACGTTTACTTTTATCGATATTGAATTATGATTACGTATATTTATTTATCCTCTCCTTTAAAGTCTTTATAATTATAATATAGATATAATATAGATATAATTATAATATAGATATAATAAATATATCTAGGTATGTCATACATATTTCGTTGTGTATCATCTCGAATTTTTATATATCAATTTCATTTTCCTTTTAATAAATGAAAGATTTTTGTATAAAATTGGAGCAATAAATCATGTATGCAAATAATGATTCATATTTTCATATCTTCATATTTTTATATCTTCACTTTCATATCTTCAGTAAACTCCATCTATTTTATGAATGAAAAATCCTATCAATATTTGAATTTAGTATAAAGAAAATTAAAAGTTGTATGTATGTAATAATTTTTTGATTAAATCTAGTTAATTTACCAACTACATAGCAATCTATTATATCGTATACAATAGCTACAATCAATAAGAATAAAGAAATTGATACGAGAGCACCAAAAATATGATAACGTTGAAAGTTATCTAAAGAGTGGAATTAGAATCTGTTTTTACGCGAAAATTGTAATTTTCACGTATAAAGATGTATTTACTGTAATTGAGGTGCCTATTTGTATAATTGAAGATTCCTGTATTTTCCTTGAATTTTGCGGTTATACGAACGTGAATAGAAAATAAAGCGTGCACAAGGATTTTTTCGTAAAAAATGGTTCTTTCCACAGACTTTTTTTGCTCACACTTACCACTGCTTTGGTACTAGCGGCTGGTTTAATTTTACCAGCATATTTTGTATGTATATCTCGAGTGCGCGTTTGTAGGAAAATTAACGAGAATATTGGAAGGTTTTTAAGTACTCTAGTTTGAAATGGTTTTCAAGCGCGCAGCTACTCAACCGTCATTTCGTAATACATATTATCAAAAAGCGAGTATCATTAACCATTTGAAAAGTGGTTAAAAAGGAATCGCCAAGTGAAATCGCGTATGTACTTTGATATTTTGTGCAATAGAAGGCTTTCAATCTCAATTCTATTCTTTATTATTTCTATATTCCCCAATAAAAAAATATTTAGAAGATTATATTAGGTTAATAAAACAATAACATTCTTCACGTTAAAATTTCAGCCACGAAAAAAATGAATTACCAATGGCGTTAACACGAATAAAACTGGGGCGTAAACTATAGTTTACAAAATAAAGCAATTTCATTCGTATGGGAGCTATTCCATATTGTTTAAAATATAATAAAAGTAGATAGAATAAAGTTCATGCGAGATTGGTTAACACTAGAACCTACTAGACTTAACTATGATCTATAATATATCGCAAAAAATACAAAGAATATGTACTAAATTGTAAAGAACACATATATCATCATAATTAAAATAGTATAATGAAAATAAATAGGCGTATACATAATCATGTCTCTATTTCAGTAAAAGCAAACGCTAATTTTGCCAAAAGCATATTAGGCTTACCAAAAGATTTTATCTTTTACGGTCACCTTACAATTACACTAGTAACTGTAAAAACAAAAAATCTAAAATCCGTCATTTTGATGGATTTGGTAAGCCTAATGTTACTAATCATAATCATAGTTTAATTATCGACTGATTTCTCAATCGCATATGTATATGATTATTGATGGATCATTTATAATGCTAAGCACCGACTACACGTTGTCCGATGATATTCGAATCGAAATAACTTTAATACCTTAATATCAGGTTCGTGAAACGGCTATTGGTTACGGCTGCCGATGGAAGTGGTCGTCGGAAGCAGAGAAGTCGAAGGTCGTTTGTATAGGTATCTCTCTGCCGGTAGTCGTGGCACCCTTCTTTTCTCCGCCACGAAAAGGCTCTTGAAATAAATTGAAAATGGCTGGTATCGCCCCGCTCTCGGATAAGTGATACCTACATCACCTACACGCACATCGGTCACCACAGAATTCCACGGGTGTTCTTTCACGTATTCAAAACGACCATTCAAAAGCGGATCCGAATCTTTACGAACGGATGATCAATTAAAACCATGTTAAAACGTTATATTAACCGCGTACTTTAGTCGGACCAAGAAAATTAAAAACTCAATATAAAAGGGGCACCGAACTCGATGTTAATCGAAATTATATCTTTAAGAATTATAGATTAACTTTCATTATATGATACGACTATCGTCAGTGAGCAAGAGGTCGTAATATTCTATAGTTTTGCTGAAAGATTATAAAAATAAGCAGAATATCAACTCACAAGTAACTTTTGCAACCCAAGATTCAAAATGTGTTTACAAAACATATATAGTTCTGAATGTGATTATACCAATGGAGGTCGATTCTGAGTATTTTAACTTTCAAGCTTACTATATCGTTTCTTTCTACATACTATTATTATAAATGAGCATCAACCGTATAATGAGTAGATATTTAAAGCAAATTAAACAAAATTTATCATATTGATTCAATCAACATAACCTACAGTTGAAAACTGACTAGCTAGAATGTTTTCTTTTTGTATAACACGGTTCTTTTTGTACGTTAAACACGGTGAATCGGGAATTTGAATATTACTGGTATTTCTATTACGACAGATGGTCTGTCTCATTATTCGGTGAAATCGAGCTCGTCGAAAATTTATGTACTCCTCGCACTCTCCCGCGACCGTAAAATCATTTCCAAAATTCACGATTTGCCCGACCGGGCTAATTTTCAGCATGCACGCGTGTACTAAGCGCATTCACGTGATCAAACACGTATGTATAGTACAGGTATACGATGACACACATACACACGGAGGAGTTCGGGTGTGCAAAACGTAACGAGACTAAACGCGAAACCTGAACTGGCGTACGGTCGCGTGCGCGCGCTCGCTCACGCAGTCAAACACGCACGAGAAAGAAGCATGTGCGGGGGCACACAAACGAGAAGGTGTATTGAATCGATGAGTATCATGCAGTTGACAGCTAGAGCTAATTGAATCTTGACTCTATCTATCTGTCGACTCGAGCTGAGACTCGACTACCGGCGCCGCTGCGAATTGCATTTCCGTTCGACAGAATCGTTCGCGTTCCAGAATTCTATCTTCCTCCTTAATCCCTCTTCGTTTTTGTAATATAGAATTATGCAGGAAATTCTCCGTTTCAGAAACTGTAAAAGACTATCCGTATTGTAATTACTTCTTGTGTTCATCACGTTTCCATTCGTGTTTATTGATATTTTTGAAACTGTAACATAGATGTAGTTAGTAAATATTTGTACTTATAGATGTTAATGTTTATTAAGAATTTATTACTTAAAAAGATTTGATAATTTCAATTTCTTTGTATTTCGTTTGAATATGATGGAATTTCAATATTAACTTTGTGCTTTACCTAATACAAGGACAGTTATTTCGTTCAAAGACTCTTTATTCCAAGAAATACGAAGCGATTATTATACAAGACTGAATACATATCTTTCGTGAAAGAGAAAGGAAAGTATGCAAAGGGCGTGAAACGACGGTCCTCTTAATATAAACTGTAATTGTTGGTGCACATTTTTCTCTTTTCCTTGCTTTGTTAACATTTCCGTTTCTGCAAATTAACGAAAACGTTGAAATATTTCGTTTGACTTTTTTTCTATTTATCGAAATACGATACAAAATGTTATAAAGAATCGTAAAGCACAATCGTGTACAGTGGTTCAGAGGGAATCTTCTTTATTGGGAACGGAAATTTCTTTTCACCGCAAATTCAATAGAAGATTTCCGTGCATCAGACCATTCAATTACGTGGCGGATCAATGGAGGTTCTCGATGAAATTTTAATTAGAAAAGAGCAAGATATACAGCGGCGAAGATGCAACAGAACGGTCGTAGATCAAAGGTGCATAAATATTTGTTAAACGTAATTTCTGTAACGTTATTTGTAACTTATATTTTATCAATTTTCTGCTTGATCTTAGTTTGAAAACACTTAGTCCTAATATTTTAAGAAAATCATTATGCATAAAACTGTAACAAGGAATAACAATTCTTTCATATCTTCTACAAAATTAACAAACTTTCTGACCATTAAAAAATGTGGTTATGTTTGAAATGATTCGTAAGATACGGCAAAATTAAACTCACATCTCAATATAATTATAAAAACTGTTAAAAATAGGCAAATTTATCTATATACTAACCTGTAAATGAACGAAAACCATGGATATACTTGATTTACAAGAAGAAACTTCCAGAAAAGGAATGGTGAGGTTAAGTAACCAATTGTAACCGTGATGACATAATATCGGTTTCATTTAACGGAACGATGCGGTTCTCTCGTAAACAGCGAGGGGTTGAGACTCGTAATACCGATAAAGGCACAGAACCCGGGAAAGGAGGATAGATAGGAAGGGGGCTCTGTTCCCCGTCTAGGATTCTATAATCCGTACGATCTTTATCGTTAAATTCTGTACTCGTGGACCGATGCCTCGATTGCGCAATCAAGATGGCATCGAGAAAGGCATCTCTCGCCTTCGACTCAAACTACCAACAAGTATTTCAATATCCGCTCCAATATATTCCCATCGACCCTATAAACGTGTGTGCAGTTATATTGGATTCCCTTCCTCCTTCCTTCGATTCGTTCTCCTTATCGCTCTCGTTTTATCGCTTTTTCCGCTCTCGCTTCTTTCTGTGGTACGTGTGTGCGTGTGCGTGATCGCGGACCGATTGGTTTACGACATCACTACGAACAGAAACGCGCGACGGTGGTGACGTTCGTGCATATCTTTCCCCGAGGAAACCGCATTTAAACGAGTTTGGTAACCCTGTAAAAGATTCTTGATCTTAATGGTCGAAGAATCGAGTTCAGGAGGATGATTGCTTGATAGAGAGCTATTAGCAATCTTCATTATGATCACTATTGGAACTATAGTTATCAGTGTTTTTACATAAATGTTATAAAAGGTTTATGCTTTTAAAGATTGTATTTGGAACCATAGAGACGGCGAATGAGGCTTTTTAGCCCTATTTTCTGGATTTCGAGATACTTCTATGAATATGACACTTCTTTAATGATCTTTGATGTTATTTACAGAACACTGAATTAGCCATTAAAAGTTTCTAATTACACAGATATATGTATATATGATTTTTAAAATGATTATTATATAATCTTTAAAACAGTTATTATGTGACTTTCAAACGACTTTTGAATAACAACTGCATGATCTTGGGAAAATCTTTATATGATATGAATTGATTTTGAAACAATTTTCAAATTATCTCTATTGATCGTGGATTATAGGCAGAGAAATCATAGTTTCAACCACTTCGATACGATACTAAAATGATCCTAAAATATATTTACAACATGTAGGTATATCTCTATCATTTGATTTAAACATATCGAATTTCAGCGAAACTGTATTCATTTAGAATAAGAGCGTCGATTTGGAACCACTAAAACATTCAGGATAAACCAGTGAGTTTAAATTTAAACGTTGAAGATTCTCATCTATCCTCTATTTTCCGTTCGCATATTTCCACGGCATGGCCAATGGCGATCAAATAGATGCCAGGCATAATAGTCGCGGATAATAATCTAGAAAATTCTTTCCTGATTAATTAGCCGTTTGAGGCTCCTAGATCACAAAGATATGCAGTAGGCCAATGGATATGAAATAATTTACCGTAGAACCGCGGCTGTTCTGTCCACAACCACCTGGGCACACATTAAAATCGGGCGTTCTCCCACCGATCACTACTCGTCCTTTTCATCATCGCTACTGCTATCTCCGTCGCTTCTTTCATTCGTTCTCTTTGTTGTCTCGTAATCTATATACGCGCACACAGGCCGCCGCTTATTATACTAATATGTCCGTCGTGCGTTCATCGCGGTGCATCGCCATCAAAAGGGTTTTCTCGTTCGAGTCTAATTGTTCGGCCCGATCCCGGCCAAAGAAGCCGAGTGATACGGTAGGGGCTGGTTTTTCACCTCGTTTCAACCGCTGGCCCGCGATCAAACGGACCCCATTCCTTATCCGTGAATCTTCCCGCACGGTTCGCCGACTTTTCGGTCACTGAATTCTTCCCGGATACCTAAGGGAACCTGGCGATATATGCATACCTCGTATAGATTCTTTAGCTAGACAGGAAATCCTTGGATCCTAGAACGGGAATTAAAATTGTAAATATATACATAGAAGGTGAATCTGTCAGTCTGACCAGTCGAATGTGAAATCCTTTTTAATTTTTGGGATTTAGACCCTTCACATTTTTCAACTCCGTCATTTTTACAGAGGGTTACTGGAAAATAATTAATTACAGGTTATTTTAGGATAATGAAAGTTATTTACCATAGTTAAGGATTTGGTAGAGTTATTATGTTACTGGTAACTTGAGGAAATTAGTTTCTTTTTACATTTTTCAATCGGATGATTCCTAACTGGAAAATAATTACCTAGAGCTTAGTTGTTTCAATTAGGATTAAAGTTTAGAGAGATGGTACAAGTAAAGATAAGAATGTTAATTACCAGGGTTAAGAATTCGGTGGAATTATGTGTTATGTTGCCGATAACTGTGTCATTTAGTCCATCTTTAGACCAATAAATAAACCATTCTAAGGATAAGAAAGAATACCATAAAACGCCACACATTTCTAAGACTTCTACGTAATATTAAGAATAAAAGGAAGATGAAGACTTTCCCATTGGATTAGAACGTTGAGTTTGTATGGAAAGAAAAAAAAGAAAGAAGAAGGTAACGGATAATCGGAAATGGAAGAAGTGCCCGAAGCGTGGCTTTGCACGATCCGTGGTTATCGAGCAGAATGGACGCGTTGTACTGGATCAACCGCACAATGAGTCCAATCGGTGAAAGGGTTTTGCAATCGTACCCACGTTTATACTGGGTATATCTGCAGGGGATACAGGTACGTTTTAGGCACGGTTCCTTTTATAAGTGCCATTATAAGTGCCATTTGAGCATGCCTACACCCGCTTTGTACGCGAATTTCAAACTAGTCATTGTCCTCTCGTTATTGTTTGAAAGGACACGAGATGACAACCGCTGTGGTTAAAAAGCACTCCCTCCATACTCCTTGAGGCAATTGCGTCTTTCACTTTTACGACATATTAACCGTTCGGTTTTTTACAAACGTATCTATCAAATAAGATCCTAACCTACATTTCCAATTTAAAAATATCTATCAAGGAAGTTTTCAAATTTAGCAACCACGTCTATATCTCACATTTAGCTGAGCATATGAAACCCTTAATGGTCCAACTGATGAAGAATAGAGTACAGAAAAGGCTTCCAAACTGAAAAGATACCAAACATCATACGTATAAAAAAGGACGATCGTATGCTTTTCTAACTTTAAAGAACAGATTCACAAAGTAACTAGATAATGCAATCTCCTACATAACCTCCTAACCTCAAAAAGTATTTTAAGCAGCATTCGATCGAATCTCGAATCTTTAAATCTTCTTCGAATCTCCCTCGTGAATCGTACTTTAACGGAAAACTGATTTAAGTAGTTTTCTTCTGAATCTTCTTTTCTAGATCGTAGAATCATTCAGCTAGCTTTTGTTCGTTTCGATTCTCCGTATCCTTTCTCTGTCAATCATCGATCGCGGCTTCACAATGGCTGCGGCGACACATTGTGTAATTTGAAATGAATGCTGTGTAAGCCCTAACGGGAGTATAATTGTTTCACGACAGGTCCACGGAGGCCTAGTATTAACGTAAGAAAATGGGGACTGGTGGTTTTCCAATCGAACAATGGCCATGTGTACCACGTTGGATATCTCGTTACACCGTAATCGAGGAATAATCGATCGTAAAGTTGTAGCACAAGGCAAATTGCTGGGCGTGGTGAGAACGATCCAGGAAACTCGAGAGGGCAAAAGACAAGGGCGCGTAGCAGAACGAGGAAATCCGAGATTTTTCTTCCTTTCCTCTCTCGCAAGCGTCCCCCTCTTCTCCGCTGCTCCATGGTCCTCCTTTATTTTTTCTGGCCATGTAAAAAGCTTTTTATTCAGAGCCCGTGTTCACCCCTCGATCGAGCGGCGTGCGTGTGCTTCCATCGAAGCGAACCGAACCGGGGCGCAACAAAGATTCACTTCACCGACACGGGATCTTTGAACTGGGTTAATTAGGGGATCGAGAAATTTTGTTCGGCCATTCGAGGAACCTTGTTGCAACTTCATAAATGTAGAAACGTCGATCAATGAGGAAGATTCTTCTAAAAAATGATTTATCGTATTATTATAGAAGACTGATGAGTTGTAATAAATTAATACTGGTAATTTTAGATTATAATACGAACTTACATGCGCGGTAATCAAAAGCCAAACTGACCAACTCCATCTTCTGATATTTTCTTATTAGGTTCGTATTTTCACAAGAAATAAATGAGTCACGTTAAATTAATTATGTTGATAACTTTAGGTTATGTTACCTGCGTCATAATAAAAATGAAAAGATTTAGATCACTATAAACTTACATGAAAGCCAATTAAATTTCAAATTAATGAATTTCATTTCTTTAAAGCTTCTTAACTATTCTACTACTCTCAATTTCAATTAGATAACCTCAAAAAAGTCAATTACTTTGATTTTTGTATAGTTCGTGTATCTAGCGTCGAATGAAATAAAACACGTGACTTCTGATGGGTTCCAGAATACTAATACACGGGCGTCAGGAAAGATCCTTGATTTCCGTGGAAACGAATATCACGCACAACGATTAGGGAGAGAGGAAAAAAAGGGAAATACGAGTAACCAGTATCCTGGTCGATCACGGGATTCCGTCTCTCTCGTGCCTCTTTCCTTCTCGCAACAAGAGCGGTCCTCGATCATCCTCTACCTCTCGTCAATGCATCCGGGGACTTCCGCGATTTCTGAATAGAAATCTCCAATGGTGGCTGACAATGCAATACGTGGACAATTGCATAGTCTAATGGATCTGCCTCACATCATCGTAACTTATACGTACGTGTCGTTCGTGAAAACGATATCGACAAACGTCCATTCCGCGTGTCTTCCTACCGTTCGCAAAAACGAGATCGACATTCTCTCTATGGTGGTCGTGTCTTTCCGCTGTCATCATACTCTACTACGTCTCTCCCCTTCTTCTTCCTTCGCGCCACGGTTTCGCGCGCGCCGAAAAACGAAAAAAGATTTGGTTCGCGTCGGTAAAAACGAACATGTCGTGTCTGAGTACCCCCCCCCC